GATCCACCTGCCTCAGCCTCCCAGAGTGCTAGGATTACAGGCGTGAGCCACCATGCCCGGCCCACCCATGGCTTTATTACGGAGAATAAAAACATATTAAGGACTAGCCTCCTTTTAAACACTGTACTTGCTCATAAACAGTTCTGAGTAGAGCAGGTAAATAAAAGGAGAAGAAATCAAATCATTTAATATTGTGATTTCTTTAATTTTGGGGAAAGTGGTCAGAGCTATTAGCTAGAATGTTTATAAACTATTGCCATATTTTATTTCCTTGTTTCCTCCTTCTTCATAATTATCTCAAACATGAGTTTTGTAAAACCAAATGTATTTTCTCTTTGTGTTTTCTCCCATTTTCAGGTGTTGAAAAGCAACTGAAGTATGAAGAGGACATGATATCAAACAGTCATTCAATGACTAACCTCTACCCCCTTGGGATTGTAGAATTATAACTTTTTTTTTAATGTATAAATTATACCTGGCCTGTACAGCTGTTTCCCGCCCACTCTTCTTGTAAACTCTGCTGCTTCCCAACACAACTAGAGTGCAATTTTGGCATCTTAGGAGGGAAAAACGACAGTTTACAACTGTGGCCCTATTTATTACACAGTTTGTCTTTCTTGTCTTAAATTTAGTCTTTACTGTGCCAAGCTAACCATACCTTATAGAATTGCGCTTTTTGTATTTGTTTTTTTGTGTTTATTTTTTAATCTCAGTTTAAATTACCTAGCTGCTACTGCTACTTCTTTTTTTTTCCTATTAAAACGTCTTCCTTTTTTTCTTAGGGTAAATGGAACATTTAGGTTAAATGTCTTAAATTTTACCACTTATAACACTACATGCCCACAAAATATATCAGGTCAGTACTGTATTTTAAAATCCCTTGAAATGATATCAGGGCTAAAATTATTTGTATCATTTCTGAAGTTTGCTTCTGAAAACTACTGTTTGAGCACTGAAACCTTACAACTGCCTAATTAGGCATTTGAGACTGAGCAAGGCTACTTAATTGTTATCTCATGGAAAGCCTATTGCTGAGTTGTTTGAATAGAAATATTTTACAATATCAAAAGCAGATCTCAGTTTAAGAGAGTTTGGAAAAGGAATTGTATTTATCTTCTTCCTGATTCTATATTCAACAGAGCTTGATGGAATGAAAATACCGTGCTTCATTCTGGTGAGCCTGCTAGCTGATGTAAGAATTGGACAGATACTAATTTGTCATCTTTAATTACTATAGTGAAATGAATTAAGATATTATAGGAATAAACATAATTGTATCTTGTTAGTACTTTATTGGCTGATCTAAATTTATAGCCTATGGAAATTGAGAAAAATGTGAAGAAACAGAGCAGATACATGGTGGATTTTTAAAAAAATATGTAGATAAATTTTGGTCTGAAATCCCTGAGATGTTTTTTACCTACTACACTAAATCATACAC